ATTTTCAGGCCAAACATTTTTTCATTGCTTCCACTTTGTGTTTTCTTTTTTTTGGTTTTCTTGGTTACGAGTGAAATTTTTGCTTTGAATTTTGCACTATACGTAAGATTTGTATTGGAAAAATTATGAAAAATTTTAAAACAGTTACAAATGAATTCAAAGAAAAAAATATATATGCAGCCTTATGATGAGTTTCATTTTCTCCGAACCGGTTCACTTGGCACTTGGCAATTTTTCTATCTTCGAACGCAATCTAGAGTGATGCAGATCTTTGATAGCAATTATTTGTGAAAACATGCAATATTTTTATGCCCGTACTGAGCCGCAGACTATTTGGCCTACATGAGAGGTCTTCCGTTTTAGATTTGTCCTTTTTCCGGCAGACATATCGTCGTATATGCTTTTTGTACTCTTTGGTATGTTATATTTTTTTCAATACCCCCAAGCCCCCTCAATCCCCTGCACTTCAATGCAATGTTTCGCTCTCTTCAAAGCTCTTAGCTTGGAATAAAGTTACATTGATATGAGAGGTATGTTGTTCAGCTTTTTTCAAATAAAGATAGGTCCCTAAAAATTAAGCTACCTGAATAATGGTCATGGAATAAATAAATGATTTTGGCAATAGTCTGTGTGATGGCGCTCATTTTTGGTTCCACGGATATATCCAAAAGAAAACTATCTGCTTTTGGAGTAAAGAGAATCCACGAGAGATCACGAGGCCTCGATACATTAACAGAAACTCACTTCTTGGTGTGGCCCATAAAGATTATCCGATTTAACGCCTCTAGACTATTTTCTTTGGGGTTACGCGAAGTCATTGGTTTGTGCGAATGAACTGGAAAAAAACACTAATGGCTTGAAATTATGTTTTTAATAAAATTTTATTTCGAACGAAATTATGTAAACTCTTTATTTTATTTCAGTGTAAAGTTCTATACCTCAAAAAAAAATACGCAAAGTCCTTTTACTGCAACAATGGTAAGATAGATTTAAAAAAAAAGACACCATATGTAAATTTCGAATATCGAACAAAAAACGAAACAAATTTTGGTGTAGAAATTTACTCAATTGCTCATTTAAGAGGACATTTTAGTCCTCCACAAACTTTAAATATTTCAAAAATTATGAATTTAATTTAATACATACAGTGCCGGACAAAATTTTTAGTACAGTGAATGTTTTTTTTATTCTTATTTCTTTTCGATAATGTTTTATAAAAATATAGTTCATTCTACACCAAAAAACATTAAAATAAAATCCCTAACATTTTGCAAAATTCAATAAATTTGCGTACTAATTTGCAACTTTCTATTCAGATTTTTTGGAAACATTCTAAGTATGCAGTTTTAAAGCCCATTTAATTTTTGTATAACAAATAGCAAGTTAGAAGTTGCTAGAAAATCGCGTTGATTTTTGCCAATGGTAAAAAGGAAGGTGTTGCTCATGTTCTGCATACAAAAAATAATTGTCGCACATACATACTTTGTACGAAATTATTATACTAAAATTTAATGGGCTTAACAACTGCATACTTAGAACCTTAAAAAAAAATCTGAATGCAAAGTTGCAAATTTATTGAATTTTCCTGAGTTTTGCACAAAGTTTAGAGATTTTATTTTTATGTTTTTTTTTGTAGAATGAACTATATTTTTATAAAAAGTTATCGAAAATAAATTAGAATAAAAAACCTTGGTTTATATTGCGAAAAGTTGACTGTCCTAATACTTTTGTCTGGCACTTTATATATTTTCAACTTGTTTCTCGCATGTATACATATTTCGAATTGAGATTTTGTGTAATTTTTTATTAAAACTATATATGTACACTAAGGTGCCCCTCAAAAAAATGTTGCGGATTTATAAAATTTGTTATATTTTTGGGCCTCTGCGAAAATAAATATTTCGGAAAAATATTAAGATTTACATGAGGTAGACCGCTTTTTAAATAAAGATTTAAAGATGTATGTGCAAATCTTTTAAGTTAAAACTATTCTATCAGCTGAAGTGATATTTTGGAAAAGTGTTTTTAAAAACAATTTTTGGGGGCTCGCGTAAATCTTAATATTTTTTTTATTTAGGTTTTAGTAGTAGATTGCATAATTATTATAGAAACAGGATACAATTTTGTTTGGCATGGAGAGTGATGCACCCTAATGTACATATATTAGAATTTGTATTTATTTCATCATGGAAATGGAAAATATTTTATTAGATACAAATTTTGGGAAAATTTTAGTAGACGGACGGCAAATTCTAGAAAAAGGGGGGAAGAGGGGGGGTAGAATAGGACCCCCTGATTTCAAAACTACCCCCCTTTTTTCTAGCAACCCTATAGTTCTTATATAATTTATTGTTAAAGTTTTCATATAAACGATGAATAAGATAGCAAAATAACATACAACTTAGTGCTACCAGACTGGAATTTTGAATAATAAAAGCGGATTTTTAATTCGGAATTTTTACTTAGTAGAATTATTATTTCTGTGTTGCCGAAGAAGGGGGGGCTGAACACATTTTGCAGAGAACACCTTTCTGCGTAGGCGGCCTTCGGCCGCACTTAGGGATTATAACCCTCAGGCAGTAGAATTGTCCTTTCTGTTTTGCGAAGAAAAGGAGCTGAACACCTTTTGCAGAGAACACCTTTCTGCGTAGGCGGCCCTCGGCCGCGCTTAGGGATTATAACCCTCAGGCAATAGAATTCTCCTTTTTGTTTTGCGAAGAAAAGGAGGTGAACACCTTTCTGCGTAGGCGGCCTTCGGCCGCACTTAGGGATTATAACCCTCAGGCAGTAGAACTCTCCTTTCTGTTTTGCGAAGAAAAGGAGCTGAACACCTTTTGCAGAGAACACCTTTCTGCGTAGGCGGGCTTCGGCCGCACTTAGGGATTATAAACCTCAGGCAGTAGAATTGTCCTTTCTGTTTTGCGAAGAAAAGGAGCTGAACACCTTTTGCAGAGAACACCTTTCTGCGTAGGCGGCCCTCGGCCGCACTTAGGGATTATAACCCTCAGGCAATAGAATTCTCCTTTCTGTTTTGCGAAGAAAAGGAGCTGAACATTTTCTTTTGTATTGATTTCCCCTGTATTCCTTTTTAATCATTGCCTACTTTGTATGTATTGTTTTGTACAATATGGCAACACATGTTATGTGTCAGTTTGCAACCATGTGTTATTATAAATATGCGTGAAATTCAATGTAATTTACAAGTCGATAAAAGTTTAATTAAAGTGATTTATATACAAGATAAAATAAAAGAAAAGTGTGTAAAGTATTAAGTACAGTGTTATGTGCATTTATATATATAAAAGTATGCACAAATGCTTTTTTGTTAAGGAAACCAAGTGGAACGACTTAAGAAATTTTGACAACAAATAACTTATAAACAATGATATTATTTATATTTTTTAGTTATACATGTTTTAGAGAATACCTCCCTTAACATCCTGACCAAGTTTCATTTGTTAATTCCACCTGGTTTTCTTAAAACACAAGGTGCGGCTGACTACTAAAGCCCACCCCAAATTTTTCGTATTCAATTCTTTTTGTCACGTTTTGTTTTGCATTGCAATTTGTTATTCCTACGCTGTTTTTCGATAATATTTTTTTTAATATTTTTTTTTTTCGATTCGACTTAGTTATGATTTGTTCTCCTATTTGAACATAAATTTTCACTTAATGCACTTTTTATTATATTATGTATATTTATTTCACCACAACACACGTTAGAATTATTCGATTTTGTTGTCACTTAACTGAGCAAGAGCCTCCACAGCTGCAGGCACTTAGCAACAGAAACTAAAATATACATATTGTATGTGGTTAGGTACATACGAACTAAAATACATGTGTGCGTATGTACGTAAATACATATGTATGTATATACATAAACAAATTGCATGCCAATCTCAGCTGTTGCCACAAACATTTGGTAATTTACTCATTTCCAATTTGTCACCAGCATCAAATGAGCGCAAATGCGAAATGTTGCTGGTATTACTCAAATGTTGCTGACACAAATTAACATACAAACTATGCGAGTAGAGTCTACGCACATGCAAATTCACATGCATATGTATGCATGTATATAAATAAATAAGCACATATGGCTTTTGGAATATATTTTGAATACGAATATTCGCCCGTTTTTTTTTTTCGCCAACCACACGGCCACTTTCTGCGTAATTTCACGCATATATAATTTCCAAACTCTTCACTGTCACTAACCGATTGCGTATGAGCGGGGAAATGCAACAAAACAAAACGAACAAAATAAAAAAAGGAAAATTCGAGTAGGTACAAACAAATTGAAATTGAGTATTGACCACAATGCTACAAAACGAATGCTGCTGTTAAATTTTGTATTGTTGTTGTGATCTCTGGCATTTTTGCTCTTCGCTTTTTGCTGTGCGAGCGCTAGAAATGCAAACGCGCGTACTACAAAAAATGTTTCGCTTTTGTTTGCCGATTTTTCCTTTACGATTTAATTTTCATGATTTTTGCGATTTTCTTGATTTTATGATTTTCCGATATTTGCGGTGGACTTTGTATATTGCCATTTACATCATCGCGAATAATTCGCAAATTTTTCGCGATTTTTTATTTCGTACGTTAAATATTTTACTCAAAATACACACATTTTCTAAAAGAATTTTTATGCTTTTTATAAAATTTTTGTTGCCGCAAAAATATTTTTTTCTCCTCTGATTTTTTGTATATCGTTTATTTTTCAGCAAGTAACCAACTATTCATCCACTAAACGCACCTCTAACTGAGCACTCCAAATCAAAATAACCGTCGAATCCAACAAAAACCGTTACTAAACATCCATCGATACTCGAACTACTAGACGAACAACGAAACCCCTTTTTCCCAATGGCTGTCTTCGCCTCTACGACGT